GAAGCCCAAAGTTTTGTCGGTCTATCACCTGACACCCAAACTTCTATTGTACTGTTGTTATTTGTAATCTGATTGCCCTCAGAGGCGAGCTAGTCCATTGTAACTAACTCAAGTTCTAGTGAAATCTTTTCAACTAGGCTAGGCCCCGTGGTTTATCCCCTTTCAAGGGTTTTCCACGTAAAAAATCTTGTGTTCTATGTGTGTGAGCTGGATATCCGTGCAACGCTAAGACGTAAAATTACTACTCTATCGCCGCATATATTCTAGCCCGCAACAAGGCTATTAATGGTACACACTATTTGGTCAAAATGTGACTATATACATATTGGTGCTTAGAAGTGTCCATGCCATATTGGGAGAGCGTGTCCATGCTTAAGGGAACAATTATTACGTCCTCCGACCGGACATAGGGAACGTCCTGTCGGAGGCCAAATCGCATCAAAAAATGAGAAATACCTAGCAAATATCGAGCAATACCAAACAATAACGAGGAATACCATCACGTGAAGATTCAATACCGAGTTATACCGAGCTATACCGAGCAATACCGAGTATACTAAAAGTTGTACCGAGTTTTTTCTAGAAAAAACTCGGTACAACTCGGTATTGCTCGGTATAGCTCGGTATTGGTCTTCACAGAGCGATATTCCTCGTTGTTATCAAATAATATCTAGCAATACCGAACAAATACCGAGTTTTTTGACAGAATTTTACCTCCGACCGGACTTTCCTCTACGTCCTTATACCGGACCTAATAAAAGTTCTGCTTAAGTTGCTTAGAAGTGTCCATGCCATATTGGGAGAGCGTGTACAAGATATATCCGCCTTATCGTAAGCGCCGCAGTGCGTTCACTTCACTTCACTAGAGAGACGTCTATACACGATTTTCGGTGCCCGTGAACGCCATACTCTTAAGTTTTAGAAATTAGAGCGGATTGGCGACGACAATGTCACGACGATGATGGAGCCTAGAGTGCAAAGAATGAGACAGGGAGAGACTGACGTACGCGGCTATGCTCGATCAAACGGGCCATGAACTGGGGCTGTGAAGGATTCTTGCTGGCTATGTGTGGCTTAAGAAGTAAAGAGGATCGATGGCTTGAGATGTCAAGCACGATAGGTTGAAGAAGCCTGACATAGTGGAGATTGTAGGAAGGGAGGTGGCTCGCTGGCTAGAGATGTGAAGAAGGATGGGAGGAAACAAGAAAGAGTTTGGGAAGGAGAACAAAACCGAAGACTTCACTTGTCTCTTGCTTTATCAACGCGAGCGGGATTTTTCAGGCCAGCGTGAAGAGATCGTTCGGGGCCATTTTGCATAGCAACGACATTTGAGCAGGATTTTTCGCAGAAAATCGGGATGGGCAGCCATCTGTACAGGGATTTAGGCGGGCATGAGCGGGTTGCGGCAAAGGTAATGATTTCAGCTTGCTTTTTTTTTTTTTTTTGCCTCTTTTTAGCTGTGACAAGGAGGTCAACAAATAAATTTTAAAAAATTATACCTCTCTTTCAACTAATGATGAAAAGATGATTTGGAGGAGAAGATATGAAAGAAAAGATAATGCAACTAGCAAAGCATGCGTTGCTCCTGTAGAGATAGCCTCTCTTTGAATTTCAACTCTCAGCTTTGACAGACGAGTTGAATTTCAGAAAGAGAAGGGTTTGCACATCCAAAGTGGAATTTACTCAGTATTGATTGGTTTCTCTACATCCTTATAGTCTTATTCCTAATCACAAAATAAACCTAAAAAAATCCTATCCAAGAAGGAACTGACTTCAACAATATTAAATTCATAAAAGAGAAAAATTATAGAGACTGGATCTCAAGCTGCTCCAGCTCTGGGAACTACAGCAGAAGGGAGTTACGCCTGTTATATGGCCACAAAAAAACAACTGGAGATGCCAACCGCCAATAACCATAGGACAAAATCACAACTTTATAGATAGAATTGAAGAGAATGAAAATGGTTGCAGACGGACAGGGAAGAACGACGAGACAGGAAAGAAGAGGAAAGAAAAATAATATTTCATTCATACTTAGAGCGTGTACTGGAGAGTCTTAAATAGAGTAATTACAATGGCATAATAGGAAATAAATGAAATATATTTGTGTTCGTTTACAGCCTCCCTCAAATTAATCATTCTTGAGATCGAATGGTTAATTTGCTACGAAGAGTTTGAAAACGATTCACAGAGAAAGCTTTGGTAAGGATGTCTGCGATCTGTTCTTCTGACGGTATATGGGAGAGAGAGATGGCGCCGGTGGTGAGATGATGGCGAATGAATTGATAGTCTATCTCAATGTGCTTGGTTCTGGCGTGGAATACAGGATTCCGGGCAAGTGCGATTGCAAAAGTGTTGTCGCAGAAGATTTGTGTAGGGGAAAGCTGCGGAATACCGAGGTCCTCTACAAGACGTCTCAGCCAAATGACGTCGGATGTGGCCGCCGAGAGAGATCGATATTCAGCTTCCGTAGATGATTTTGCAACTGTCACCTGCTTCTTAACCGACCAAGATATGAGATTTGGTCCTAAAAATGTACAGAAACCGGAGATTGATTTCCGGTCGGAGGTGTCGGAGGCCCAATCAGCATCGGTATATGTCCTCAAGACTAGTTCACCGGTGGTCAAGGGGAGACCGAATGAACTTGTGCCTTTAATGTAGCGAAGCAGGCGTTTGAGATTTTGAAAATCAAGAGTTGACGGATTGTGCATATGCTGACAGACTTGATTTGTTGCGAAGGCTATATCCGGTCGGGTAATGGACAGGTATTGTAGAGAGCCGGCTATTCTGTACATTGTGGGATTATGAAATGGCTGATTAGTTGCAGTAGTGTGCTTAGATGAGGGAGAGAGTGGAGTGTCCGCGGGCTTGCAGTCAGCTATTCCTGAATCCTTAAGTAATTTCTCTGCATAGTGTTGCTGGGTAAGAAAGATGCCTGTGGATTGCCGAACAATCTGGATACCGAGAAATAGTGAAAGTTGGTTTAGTTGTTTGAGGGCGAATTGAGAATGCAGCTTGGAGAGAAGATCCTTGAGTGCAGCGGAGTCGTTACCTGTAATTAAAAAATCATCGACGTAGATTAAAAAGAAAATTTGAACATTGTTATGATGGTAAGATAAGAGAGACGGGTCGGAACGAGTGAACCTGAATCCTTGGTGTTGGAGAAAGGAAGTGAGCTTATCAAACCATTGTCGAGGTGCTTGTTTGAGACCATAAAGCGACTTCTTTAGCTTGCAAACGGAAGACGGTGAGGCATTGTCGATGAATCCCGGAGGTTGTCTTATGTAGATGTTGTCGGAGAGCTCGCCGTGAAGAAAGGCGTTAGAGACATCGAGTTGAAGAAGTTGCCAATTCCGATTGATGGCCAGCGTAAGAAGAAGACGAATTGTGGTCATTTTGGCAACTGGACTAAATGTCTCGGTGTAATTGACGCCGTATTGTTGGTCGTAGCCTTGAGCTACAAGACGGGCTTTGTATCTTTCTACCTGACCGTGTGGGCTCCAAAAATTCGGCCCCGGCCTCCGCTCGCTTTTCTTAAATTGAATCTTTTTTTATCAAATTTAAAATTCGGGCTGGTTGTAGGGGTCAACAGACCGTTGGGTAGAGTCTTGATCTTAAAGGTCCATTTACAGCCAAGAATAGGGGTATTTTCCGGAGCAGGTACAAGCGTCCAAGTGGCTTGTTGTTGCAGCGCATGGAATTCCTCGGACATTGCTTGACGCCATTGAGGAGGCTTGACGGCTTGAGCATAGGTGGTGGGAGTGGAGATTGAGGGATTGGTTGTAAGAAGAGACAAGATTTGTTTGGGTTTAGTAATGCCAGACTTGAGCCGAGTCTGCATTGGGTGTGAAGGTAAATGGGTGGTGGAACTGGGAACGGTGGTTGGAATAGTATAATTTGAGAGAGAAATTTCAGTGAGCGGCTCGGTTGGAGACGTGAGTGTAGGTGTGGGAATAGGTTTAGGAATTGGTTTTGATATAATTTTAGGAGCTAAAGACGGAGGTATAAGAAGTGAGGGAGGAGTGGTGTTTGGAGAGGACAAGGAAGAGAAAGGATTCACCTGAGAGATGGATTGATATGGGAAGTGGGCTTCATTGAATTTGACATGCCGAGAGATAAAAGTTTTGTTGGAAATTATGTCCCAGCACTTGTAACCTTTGTGAAAGGGTGAGTAGTGAAACGAGAGTTAAATGGCAACGTAAAACCAAGAAGAAAACGGGAACAGGAGGAAGACGATGATCATATCAGATGACTCTCATTCATCTTGCTTGATCAAAACATTGCTACAGTAATACGGTTTTTATAACCAAAAAACTAAATGATTAAAGTGACTGCTATAGCCGCCTAGCCAGACCACCTCGACTCACTGAGTCATGCCAGAGTGAGTGGGAAGCCATCTAGCTGAGATGATGGCAGGGATACCGAATAAGCATAGTGAGTCGCTATCAACACAGGCTAATGAAGTGTATGGTTTAACAAGTAGCCGATGAAAATGCATTCACGAGAGCGAGGCGAGAGCTTATCCGCGGTGTAAGGTCGGAGCCATGGAAAGCATTGACAGCCGAAAGTGCGGAGGTGATCGTAAGAAGGATTGTGGCCGTGTAATCTGTAAAAAGGAGTTTGATTAGAAATAGCAGAGGATGGAAGGCGATTCACCAAATAATTTGCAGTGGAGATTGCTTCAGCCCAAAGAATGTTTGGCAGACTTGCGGCGTGTAGAAGTGTACGAGCCAATTCAACGAGATGGCGGTGCTTCCTTTCAGCTAGTCCGTTTTGTTCCGGCGTATGAGGACAGCTGAATTGACGTTGTATACCGTGAAGATGTAGGAAGTCATAAAACGTATGGCTAGTAAATTCTCCACCGCTGTCAAACCTGAGAATTTTCGGTGTTGTCTGAAATTGGGTGCGGATGAGTTGGTGAAACAATTTGAATTTTTAGAGTGTTTCCTGTTTAGATTTCATAAGATACATCCAAGAAAAACGAGTAAAGTCATCTATAAAAAGTACATAATAGCGAAAACCATCCATAGAGTATGCGGGAGCAGGCCCCCAAACGTCGGAATGTATTAGTTCAAAGGCACGTGAAGAAACAGATGAACTTTTATTAAAAACAGATTTGTGGCATTTAGCCACAGTACAAGATATACATGAAAATTGTTTTGAAATCTGAGAAATGTTGGGAAGAAAAGGAATTAACGCTTTGAGCAGCCCGTGGTGAGGATGTCCTAAGCGTGAGTGCCAGACAGTTTCTTGAGTGATGCTTGCATTTAAGGCCGTGTAGTTGGAGGCGGGACAACGGCGAATTTTGTACAGTCCATCATGTAGATGCCCATAAAGAAGAAGACGGCGGTCCTTAATTTTAAAACCATTAGCATCAAAACTCACGGAAATAGGATTGTCAGTTGTTAATTTGGAAACCGATAAAAGATTATGGGATAATTGCGGAACATGAAGAATTTGACGTAAATGTAGCTTACGAGGAGTCTCCGGTAAGGGAAGAAGGCCTTGACCGGAGTGAGTGACTGGTAATTGCGAACCATTTGCGATGGAGACATTGTCAGAGCCATGATATTGTGCTGGATATTGAAGGTTGTTGAGATCCGGTGTGAGGTGATTAGATGCGCCCGAGTCTATGATCCAATCTTGAGAGTTGTTCTGGTTTGGTTGCGCAAGAAAAGCAGTCATCAAACGAGAGTTGGTGGGAGCGAACCGTGGGTTAGAGCGATGCCAACAGTTTAATGCAATATGACCAACTTTGTTGCATATTTGGCACGTTGGCCGGGTGGACGAAGGATTGGCCGGCATTGAGACAGAGGTAGGTTGATTCTGCTGTATTGGAGATTGGCCTGCAGAGGAGGTTCTTGATTTGGTGAAGCGGCGTGGAGGACGATTGCGAGATTGAGTTGAACTCATGGCGTGCAAGGCTGTGACGCCGGAAGCAGTTGGACTTTCTCTAGCAATTTCTTGATTGACATTGATCTCTTCACTGCAAAGAAGAGAATAAATGTTATCAAGATCCATCTGTAAGGGAGAAGTTCGGATGGCCGCCTTGAACGAATTGTAGGTGGATGGAAGGCCGTTGAGGATATGAAGGATGATGTCTTCCGTGTCGACATTGGAGCCGGAGGCAGCTATGTTGTCAACAATTGATTTGACATGGTTGAGATATTGTGGCATTGTCAGATTCTGCATTTGTACATGATGGAGTTCATTTTTAAGTTGAATGACCCGCGAACGACAGGTAGGCTGCAGACGTCTCTCAAGAACAAGCCAAACTTCATGTGCGGTGGAGCAAGAAATGACATGGGGAAGAATTGAAGGAGAGATGGTTGAAAACAGGGCTGAAAGAAGATTATTATCAACCAAGTGCCATCTCTGAAATTCTTGAGAGGAGGCGTCCGAGGGGCAAGATGCGGTGCCGGTGAGATGGCCGGCATAGCCGTTGGCCGTGAACTGTTGGAGAAGTTGAATACGCCAAATGGCGTAGTTCTCGGTGGTGAGAGCATTGGGGACGAGGTTCTTGACATTGGAGATGAGAAATTTCAGCTGCGGCGGAATGTGGATCTCGGTGAGAGAAGTGCCGGAGAGATTGGTAGAGGAGGGAGGGTGGGAATTTGCGGATTCTTGATCCCCCATGGGTTGGCTCATGATACCATGAAGAGAATGAAAATGGTTGCAGACGGACAGGGAAGAACGACGAGACAGGGAAGAAGAGGAAAGAAAAATAATATTTCATTCATACTTAGAGCGTGTACAGGAGAGTCTTAAGAAACAATAAAAAAATTGTCGTTTACAAGAATATCATCTTAGGCTTCGTTTGGAACAGCTTTCTTACTGCTTCTTAAAATAATTTTTAATACATAAATTTTAATTTTTGTACTAAAAATTTACTTTAAGAAACAATAAAAAAATTGTCTCGAACGAAGCCTTAGTCATGCAAATACAAACTCTCATTGACTCAACAAATTACCACTAAAGTTAGAATAGAGTTCAAATTTTAAGTTTATTAAAGTGCAAATTTCAGCGTGCTCATTGCAGCACAAATTTTTTGTGTTTTCAAATTCGTATCGCTAGCATAGAGGAAACAGCATAGAACAACAAGATTTAGCTTGATGCAAAAACAGACCGAAGATTCTACCAAACCTTCTACTCTACATGTAAGCTTTTACGAAAATGAATAGGGAGGAGCACCAAACAATTCATTTGTACAAAACTCTGGAACTTAAACCTGTGGAAGGTTGCCTTCGTGCCCATCTGATCCTGCAGCAAGCTCGTTTGATGGCTTGTTTTTGTCGGTTCGCTGTTCATCTTCAGAAGGCTGGAATGCTGTTACTGCCAAGTCCTCGACTGCATCTGCCACCCCATCGATTCTTAATGTTATTTCGTTGAGCAATGAGGCCACTGTGATCACTGTCATTGCTTCCATCAATGGTATGGTTGGAATGGCTGCTTTCGATTCGGCTTCTTCTAGTGAGGGAGTGCTTAAGATATTTTGCACCTCTTCCACTGCATCATTCATCTCTGCTATGAGGACCTCAATGCTGGAAGACCTCTTCATGGACTCAATAGAGTTAGCCAGTTCTTTCAAAACATTTGAAGATTCCAATCCTAGCCTTAGGCAGGCATTGCTTAGATGCTTTTTTAAATGCTCTGGTGCTTTCTGTTGATTCTGTAAAACAAGCTTTGGTTAATAAATCAGCTTTGGTTCATAAATCAAAGTGTAATTTATGAGTAAAATTTATATGTTCACAGTATGTTTTGTTACCTCATTTTCTGAATTAATGCAATCATTTAGAGTCTCTATGCAGTAAGCACAGTAGCGCATGGCAGTGCAAACTCTCAGGTATTGACTCCATGGGTGCAGGTAGCTAAATCTGCCATGCATTGGTTCCCATCTGGCTAAATTCGCCTGTGGTTTCAAACATAATTCATAATCATAAATTTGAAAGGTATGTAAAGTCTTGTAGATTAATTTACAACTCACTATCAACTTTTTACCAGTGATTCTTCAGTTGCCTTTGAGTTGAGAACACATTTGTACCCTCTAGAATTTTGCACAGAGGTTTCGTTGCCATCTACCTTCTCACCATCCCTGAAGTACTCGGCTACACTTTCTGTGATTTTAAGTTGTGAGAAAATTTCAGTTAATATTATTCAGCAAAGTTATGTTATTTTTCTGGGATAAATCAAGTGAAAATTGAAGTAGTGTACCCTCTATTGAATCAGCAAGTTTTCTCATGTTTTTTATTGTGAGCAGGTGAAGCTCCTCTCCAGCCCAAACTGGACGAACCAAAATGCAGACCAGGAGACAGATTGAAATTCCAATAAACACAGTCATCAACCGTTGCTGCGCCAATTCAAGCAGTCTATCAACACGATAGCCAGAGATGGCAACCAAGTTGAAGGTCAGGATAAAGATCAGTATGCCGTAATCGAACCGAGCTCTTACGATCGGAATAAAACGAACAAAGGTTGCTGCTGAAGCTGTAAAACAAGGTGAGTCCAAAATGTTAGAATACTATTAGAGCCTGTAGTTAGTAATCTCCAAATCTGTCTATTTGATAATTTTACATACATAGTAAAAAGGCAGAAACACCAATTATTATGTGCTCAGATGTTTCACTTGATTTGCTTGCAAGCCAGTGGATCCCAACTGCAATCATTCCTGCGCTAAGAGTCGCCATTACTCTGTTCAAGCCTTTGTATATTGTGCCTCCTGCATAAAAAAATGAGAAGAGTGAGATTCTTAGAATGCCAGCGACAGAGATGTATAAGCATTCAAAAACATACCAACTGTGAATTCAAAGATGACAACAATGGTCATGATTGCCCACATAGCAGTTCCACCCACGCCTTGGTACAATGGCCTAGTATAATAGAAGATGGACACCAGAGTGAGTGCGAGTCCCACTTTGATACAGTGGATGAATTTTCGAGGATCATCTACGCCCAATTTCCATGCATTCTTCATGAATCTTGATGATGATCTCATATTCAAGCTTAGCAAATCAATCAATTGACGCCACAGTGCAATACGGGGCTCCAAGTTGTGCTCTTCCTGTGCTGATGGCTTGTGAGTTACTGTGACTCTCCATTCCAGTTCTCTTGTTTCTTCTTTCTTGGTAATCATTTTTGCTTTCTAAAACTTTGATGAAGGGCTTCTATTCTGGAGGAGCTTGTCTTAGTTGTTCTACTCTGCACTCTAGTATGGATGGAGTCAAATGTTATGTTCAACGGTTGGCTTTTTATATAGGTATAAAGTTAGGATTGCTAGTAATTTACAATTAAGTCGGTAGTAGTGGCCATGGCCGAACTTCTTTGTAAGGTTTTTAGAATGATGATCTGCGTAGGGAACCAAAATGGGAAGGTGCTGAACCTTTGACTTTTGATAAGTGACCTTTCATGGATAATCTTTTTTATTTTATTTTATTTTATTTATTTTGGAGGATTAGAAAACTATTTTACTCTTTTTTTTCTTGTAGGATCAGTAAATATCCTTTGGTTATCCTGAACAAATGATGATTTAGGCTTTGTTTGGGACGGCTTTTTTACTGCTTCTTAAAACAGTTTTTTAGCACAATAAATATCAAAAAGCTGCTTTAAGAAACAGTAAAAAAGCCGTCCCAAATGAAGTCTTAATTGAAGTCCTATGAAGTCCTATGCCCAAGTTGTAAAAGTATAATGACATTCTAAAATAACATCATCTTAAGCTTGGTTGGTAATGATGATTAGGAAAATGAAATAATAATAATAATCAAGGAGAAGTAAAAAAAAATATATGAGAGTTTATGTGATTTGGTGTATTCGGCCTATGTCAACAATTACACAAACAGTCAAATTTTAACACATATAGAGATTAAAAAAGAATAAAAATATATTATCTTTTTTTATCTCACTAACATTTTTTCCTCTTACTCTAATTATGCCCTCTTCAAATGTGAACATGATTCCTCCACCTATTATGCTCATTGGAGATCTAGAATAATATGCAGTCTCATGTTTTAAACAACATTACTAGTTACTCATTCCTATGATCTTAGCTTTTTTTTTTTTTTTTTTTGAGGAAGCCTCGGCATCCAACTATCATTGCCGACCCTTTAATGACAAATGTCTACCATACAACGAAGAAATCTTTCTATATACACCTAATAAGATAATTACTAGCTTCTAATCACTTTCTGTCCGCTTTTTTGACCTCCTCTTCTACTCCCTAAATGGAGAGATTATTAGGTGCGGAGTACGAATAGGGAGAATCGTCCACACAAGTATTGTTGGGCGCTAGGTACCTGCACTCGGTACCGCTAGGTATCCAGTGTTTGTGCGGACGGTGCACACTCCACACCTAATAAGTTTTCCCCTAAATGAAGATCTTGAGTTTTGTATCCATCAAACTTAAAACTCATGGATTGTATGATACCTTTATGTGGTTTGTTAACACTTGGGGTTCGTTTGGGACAACTTTCTTACTGCTTTAAGAAGAATTAACAAAGGCGTCTCAAACAAAATCGTAACCACTTTAAAAATATTAACAAATGATAAAATAGATGGATTTAATTAGAAGCTAAATTAATTTCATGCTTTATGAAACCCTTCAAATCTCTCCAAATTATATGATTTTATTTTCACACTCCAAATAAATGTAAATAAATTCTTCATTTATAAAATATATTTTTCATGTTTAGGTGCTTGCCATGTTGTATTACCAAATAAGAAAGGCCCTCCATACCTAATATTGGATCCTTCTACAACAAGCTCTTTTCTAGCAATTGGTGACTACCGAAAGCATAATTTGGTGCATGGAAAAAAAGTGATCAAGTAAACATCCATGCAAGCAAAAGGATATCACACTGGTGTTTTTCCTAATCTTAAAGAAAATCTAAGGCTAATAAACCAAACTCAAGCCTTTCAATACACCTCAAGGGCAACAGTACTATTTTATACCCCTAGCAAAGTGATAAGCAGTCAACCTTTGAAGCTTAAATTAGCTTATATTATTCCTCCACTAAGGCTTATACTTTCTTCATAGTTTAGGTAAAGGCATATAAGCCAAAGAAAAAATAGTGTAAATAAAAGAAATCTTATCCTTTTCTTTATTTTCTATCATGCAAAGTGGAGAATAGACAAACCTTATGATGCATGAGACTGAACCGCACTTATCAAGCTATGAGATTTTATTAGAAGAATTTATTAACTTGTTATTGTATTGGTTTACATGAAAGCTGACCTCTCTTATCACTGAGGGCCATCACTTGTGCTTCAATCCTTATAATATATTATTGTATTGTTTATTTCTTCTTTGATAAACCTAACCATATAAAGCAAGTGACATAAGCTCCAAAAAAAATGAAAGAAATTTAGGCTTCGTTTTCGTCAGTTTCCTATTGATTTTTAAGCGGCTTTTTAGTATAAAAATTTCTATTGATTTAGGTTTCATTTGGGGCGGCTTTCTTACTGCTTCTTAAAGCAGCTTTTTAGTATAAAAATTTATATTGATTTAGGCTTCATTTGCTCGTCTGTTCTCCTTTTAACATGGGAGATTAACAGTCAATAAGATGGACATCCAATTTTGGTTAATGATAGGCGTCAAACATTGGTGACCAGTAGATGTCATATTGCCATTGGGCAACCGGCATCAATGATGGGTGACGATGGACTTTAGGCAACAAAAAACTTTGGTGTAATCGTGCAAACTTAAACTAGCTATGCAAACAATGCGCACGATTTTACATTAATAGATGGAATTGAAGAGATTCTCCTGGCCATTTGATCTTCCTATCCAACGGCTCTCGATGAATGACATGATCATCAATTAGGTAAAGAAAAGCCTAATTATGCTTTTACCATTAAGATGATTATCAAGCTTGGGCAATTCATCATAATGGCCACCAAGCATTTGGCTTCATTGGTAAAGTGGGTAGCAAGTGGAGTATAGTAGAAGGTGCCTAATGGCCTTATTGAGGATGCATTTGCAATCTTTGGAAAATGCAAAGGTTTTCATTTGTATGATCAAAATATATGAATTAAATAACAATTAGAGTATATTAGATTGGTTGAACTTAGGAATTATACATTTTAAAATTTTGACTAAGGTATATTTTAAACTCTATAATTAATATCAAAATCATTAAAAATAATTATTTTAGTTTTTGCATTTAAAATGAGAAAATATAAATAAGTATTTTTAAAATATATTTTATATCTACAAACAATCAAATGAGCACTTAGTAAAACCTAAGGAGCCAATTATATTTCATAGAAAGATAAATATATATTTCTATTGATGAATGTTTGATGCTTCTGATGAGGAGGCATTAATTGTGGTTTACACATAGTAGTAATTCAATATTAACATTAAAAAAACAAGAAATTTTATTAAAATAAAAGATATTATTTCTCATCAGTAAGAAAGTTAGAGAATATCCTAATTGGATTCACTAAAAAAATTTTGCATCTTATAATTATTGTTATTATCAAATGTCACAAAATTTATAATGATTTTGTACTTTTTTTTTTCTTACAAACATTCTACAAAGATTCACACATATACATAAAAAAAAAAAGCTCACAAAGAATTCACTCCCTTCACTAAAATATTGAGATTATTATTATTCTTAACTAATAACTATAGTGTTTTTTATCAGACCGCCGGTTTAACCTCCAATAATTCCGTCAGTCAAATGACCGCCGAAAGTTTCGCCAATATACAGTAAGTTTCTTGTAGTGCAAGAAATATATGAATTTTTACATTGAAAACTCAAAACGAGAGCGAATAACCACAAGGCTATGCCCAGCTAAAATAATCTTCTATGTAGTTTAAGATTATAAAAATAAGCCCTCCTCCTTAATTAGGGATGATGAGATTAGCATAAAAATCAAATAAATGTATTTCATTCAGTAACTCCAAATGTTTATTTTGATGTATGAGTTTAGCAACAAAGCAATTTATTATATAAAAAACATTATGTCAAAAATTTTAATATAATTTTAATCAGAATAAATTAAAAATTAATATATTTGTTTTAAAATGAATATCTACATAAAAAAAATTATATTAAACTCAAATAAAAAAAATCAATTATTTTAAACCAATTCTCTTGAAAATTATATGAACAAATTCAATTAGTCAGATTTTTTGTTGCTATTTTATTATTAAGTGATAAAGAGCTCTATTCACTATCTATTTATTTATATTTTATGCAATTTAATCTCTCTGAATTCATTTTATTACAATAGTGATAAGACCTACTTAATACTTTTCAACATAATCTATTTGTTTCAATGGTCTTTTCCATTGATGCAATGAATTTTTCTTCTTTTTAATTAGGACCTTAAGTCATTAAGATTAATCAAACAGCATTAATTAGAACTAATGACTTCACTTTTAAGTCAAGTCAATGTACTTTCTCATAATATATTTAGCTGTTTTGGCTAAAGAAATTGTTTTTCTAATTTTAAAGCTATTGATCATTCTCTCTCTCTCTCTCTCTCTCTCTCTCTCTCTCTCTCCTTCCTTTTCTAAATTAAAGAATATACTAACTAATATTTATATATGATTAAGATTATGTAATGTTATTATCATAATTATTATGAGCCATTACATGCTGATACCCAAAGGATCATTGTGAGGACATGCTTGAGCCATTTTAACATAATAACCTTGAATATGCTTCTTATCTGATTTAAAAAAACAATCTAACAACAACTAACCAACCTCTTTCATAGGAGTAATTATTCTGTCCGAACACCGAACGTGTCCAGGGACCAATAAAAAAGAGCTCCATCACTAGGCGCTCGGTACCGACAACGGTACTGCTCAGTACCATCGATAAGCTGTTCGAACACAATAATTTTTCCTTTCATAGACATCTAGCCAGCGAGAAATTATTATGTGCAAACACCGGACGTAACTATGTGTCCAGACGCAAATCAGAGCGTGCCACGTCACCCAGTACACAACGGATACAACCTCACTACATAGGAGTGAGGTGACGTGGCGTGTTCTAATTTGCCTCCGTATTACAAAAAACAGTTTTTCACTATAGAAATTTTTGAAAGACAACGAAAATGTAGCAAGAAATCGATAGTCAAATAAAAATTATGACTATTATCTGAAAAATAGAACAGCGAGAAAGCTATCCTAAACAGATGCTTCTAAGTTGAACCAGTGTTGTCTATTATTACCACAAGCTCCAACATCTCCAAAAATCATATGGTCTACTACACAGGAATTAGATCAGTAGAAGTTTGTAGCCAGGAAAGTTCCAAGCTCAAACTTCCCATAGCACCCAGCCTTGCTTATTAGATATTTCTTCAGAGCTCAGCAGCATCTTGGAAGCCAAACTTGCTACAAAAAAGACATATTTCACTAACCACTCCTTCCACCCCACTATTCATTACCAGATTCCACTTGTCAAAATAACTCCAAATGTCATGCAATCCAAACTAGATGGGAGGAAGAATCTTAAGCTTCCAAGAACTTTCTCTCCTTGCTGTTTCCCATCTCCCATCAGTGCTACTTTTTAAACTAGCTCAGCTTCCACTTCTCATACCAAAAAAGTGTAAGCAGAGCACATCCATGAACATTCCTCAACCATAGGCTTTGTTGTATTCCCACCCTCACATATGTATTTAAAGCTTATAACATTGAGAAACTTCATTCAACAAAACTTCATAAAATATCTAACATCAAGAAGAAGATCTTTATGGCTGAGGAGAGACTAATCTATAGAGCATGGAGAGTGTTTTCTGAGCTCAGACTATGGAGTTTTGGTCACATGCTGTGGAATATAGGAGTGAATGATCCAAAGAAGGCTTTCCATGCCCTCAAGGTTGGACTTGCAGTAACCCTGGTTTCTATATTCTACTATGTAAGGCCACTCTATGAAGGTGTTGCAGGATCTGCAATGGGATCTGTCCTCACCGTCGCCGTCGTCTTTGAATTCAATGCAGGTAAGTTTCAAACAAGAGGATTCTCGTCGAAGGCCGTCTCCATGATTTGAATCTATGATTGCACTAATTTGAATAACAGATTCTTAGTAATTTGAATTGTAAGTAAGCTATTATGATTTTTGTACTAAAAAATTGTTTTAATAAGAACTAAGAAAGCCGTCTCGAACTAAAAAAGCCGTCTGAAACTAAGGCTTCGTTTGAGACAGCTTTCTTACTGCTTCTTAAAACAAAAAATAAATAAATAAATGAATGAGATAATACACTGTCAGACTCCTCCATTATTGCTTTATATGTCAGCCATGAAGATGTCAAGAAATAAACCAGCTAATGAACAATAAAATGAATGTCACAGGTGGAACAATTTGCAGGGCATTCAATAGGACATCAGCCACTTTCATTGCTGGTTTCTTGGCGATAGGCATTCATATAATTGCAGATAGATCAAACAAAGAGATTGGGCACATAGTTCATGGAATTGCAGTCTTCTTAATAGGTAAGAAAATACTGTGATATATATAGACTTTTCTAAGCTTGTTTCCTAATTGACTTCTTCTTTTCTGATAGCTCTGGCGGCGACCTTTGCTCGATTCATTCCTGTCGTAAAGGCGCGATATGATTATGGAATGCTTGTGTTCATCGTCACCTTCACAATGATCTCTCTCTCAGGCCATCATCTCAATAAGTTGCTTGACATGGCGAAGCAAAGAAGCTTCACAATTGCTCTTGGGAGCTTCATTTGTGTGCTTGTTTCAGTGCTAATATGCCCAGTTTGGGCAGGGAAGGAACTTCATATATTGGTTGTTGGAAACATGGAAAAGCTTGCTAATTCTCTTGAAGGTAAGCTTTGGATTTAATTTTTGTCAAGGGGCATATAAGATCCCATAATAGATACATAAAAGCAAATAGAAAAGGCCGGCAAGGAGCCAAACTCAAAATTAACCAAAAGGTTCCACATCAGTATATATATCAAGAAAGGGAAAAATTATTACGTGCGGTGTCCGGATGTGTGCAGAGGCCAATCCGGATGCATCAAGCCACCCAATGCACAGTACATTGGATGACATGACACATCCGGATTAACCTACAGACTCGTTCTGACACCGCACAGAATAATCTCTCCAAAAACGACAAAACGAACATCTGCAATCCAGCTAAAAGAAAGGCAAGACAGAACCACAAACAAAATGGCAACATAAAGTGGCCCAGAATATCTGCATACAAACTACAAAGCAAAAAAGGGAAAAGAACCAGCGAACCAACTACCAACTTGAAATTAATAAAGAATATTATTAAGCTTTTCCAATATGATTGATAAACTATCATTTTATTGATTTTTCATACTTGGTTTGCATGAATGAGCCAAAAGCTAATCTTTTTCTCCCAATCATACTCTACAGTATGTGTGCTTGAATATACGAAGCAAGGTCAAGATTCAAAAGGCAAGGAGGACTCACCCCAAAAGCTTCCAGGTTATAGAAGTGTTCTTGCCTCAAAGGCATCAGAAGATAGATTGGTATGAATTACAAATATCTCTACAAATAATGACTTTTTTAATCATCTCTAATCATCTCTATCACAAAAGTAAATATAAGATCACAGAACAAAATAAGCATTTCTAATGTTCTTTCTACTTCAAATAAAGGTGAACTTAGCAAGATGGGAACCTCCTCATGGCCAGTTTGGTATGTCACATCCATGGAAACATTACCTCAAGATCGGTGCTTCGATGCGATACTGTGCAAGTTGTATGGAAACACTCCATTCTTATACCAAATCTGAAGGGAAAATTCAGGTAAACAAACCACCTAATCAGTTTTTTCAGTATCAAATATATCTGAAAGACTGAAAGACTTCTTTTTATGCGTAATTTCAGGCACCTGAAATCATAAAAGATTATCTTTGTTCTGCCTTCATGAGACTAAGTTTCAATTCATCCATAGTTCTAAAGGAGCTTGCTAAATCGGCAAATGAGATCAGTAAGTCTTCAACAATGGATGATTTAGTTAAAGACATGAAAGTTGCAGCAGATGAGCTTCAAGTGGCACTAAGAACTCTTCCTAGAATGATATTGGCAATAAAAGAAAACCAAACAAGAGTATATAATGGTGAATTGAAGGATATAAACTTGAATTTAGTTGAGGTTATTCCTCTTGCCACAGTTACTTCACTTCTGATGGAAATCACTACAAGAATTGAGGGTACTGTTAGTACAGTTAATGATTTCGTCAATGAAGCTCTTCTTAAAACATTATAAATATTTTGGAAGAAAATATTTGGTGGGAGTGAGATGTGTGTAAGAAGAGAGATATAGAGAGAGATGAGAGAGACTGTATCATAGAAATATTCTCTCTTTTGTTTCTATATCTCTCTCGATCTCTTCTTGCTAATGGACAAAAGATATGAAATATATAGCAAAGATAAGAGTTTCTATGAAGCTTTTTTTTTTTCTCTCGATCTCTAAATAGATTCAAAAACTTTAAAAAATAACATTGACCTTTGTTTCCATGAATGTATGTAAAAGGATCCCTTTTTGGTCAAGTGAAGGAGTAAATTGGTCTGACTATCTATTTTATATTTAATTTATATTTATGAATGGTGGTCTAAGATCTTGTTTTACTTTTCTTTCAATTGACAAAATTATTAGAGTCATTTGACTTTTGGACCTTACAATTATGTTCAATTTATTATTTAAATTGATATTCTTTCTTTATGATTTACTTTATAAATAAATATCGAATAAATATGAAAAAACAAATTTTATTTATTTGAATAAATATGAAAAAATAAAATTTATTTATGCATATGAAGAGTTGTATTACACTACTTTTAAAATTAATTTAATATTTTTTTATATATTAAATATAATTTATATCATAATATTCTTATATATTATTTTATTTAATAGTAAATTTACTAATTTAATTAATTTTTACATATATTTAGCTAAATTAAAAGTCAAATAAACCAAAAACATGCAAAACTCCAAGCTTTATGGCCTCCATAGAAATGTTAAAACGACAGCTTTTTGACGACGGCGAAGAGAGATGGCGAAGCTGTACGAGGCGAAGACGACGCCGAAGGATCTGAACAAGAACACCCTGGGGTGTGGACGACCTACATCCTCATACTCTTCTTTTGGTGGCTTGTCATCCTCTCCGTCTTTGGTTGCTCCGCTGGCGCCGCCTGGACTGTCGTCAAATGTTTATAGTCAAAACAAACATTTCCATAAGAGGAATCTAACGAGCTGGAGTAAGGTCATTAAAACACTTAAATGCTAAAAGAATAATCTATGATCAAATAAATTAATACAAGCTTTCACATGAAGTGTCTTAGGACTACGATATTTAGCGAAGAAGCGAGCCAAATGGTGAAAGATAGTTACCTTCGTGGTAATCTTCTATTGTGACTTCCAACGACATTGTCAAATAGAGTGAAATGGGTGAGATCGTTACCTTTGTTGTGAGCTTCCATTATGACTTTCGATCCGACAAGAATGATGTTGTTCAAGAGGAAAAGCAAATTTACTTAAGAGACTCTTCACATTGAAGAACGCAAAGTCGAAGCCTCAATGAAGACATGGAGATGAGGAAAAGCAAACAACAAACTAAAGAGAAGAAAAATTATAATACAGTTTTGTTTGATCTATTGGTTGAGAGCTTTAGCTATCAACCAAAATGTATTAGGTTTGAAGTTTGTATATGCAATATTTTTATGAGTTTGTCTTAATTAGCTCAAAAGTCCTCCAAAAAAGAGAAATTATAGAAATAGGCAATGGCAAAGAAGAATATCATCTACCTTTTTCCCAACTATGTTTTGGCTTCTATCAACTATTTTATTTTTATTTTGTTTTTTTTGTTTTTAGTAATCAATTAGCTTACTAATTAATTATTTAATTATTAGTTATGATATTAATATATAATAAATATAATTAGATTAATTTAATCAAAATTTGATTAAAAAAGTAATTAGGTAGAGCATGAGCAAGACAAAGAGAAGAGAAATTATATAAATAGATCGATAGGCAATGATAAAAAAATGCAAGTGATGAATAAATAGAGTTGATAAGTCTCCAAAAATCACCCTAATTAGGTGCGAATCTTGATGCATATATGAATTGAAAACTTCCAAAATTAAATTTGGTATCATCCAAACTCTGATTTCAGTAAACTTATGGTCATATAGAATTTCTCAATGAGATGAACCCAACGACACCAAAATGAGTTCAATCCGACCCCAAATAGGCATAAATCAAGGGATCGAAATATATTTGAAAAATTCAAAGCATTAATTGGATGATCAAATGTTATCCATTAGTAGCATTCTTATAGTTGAATCGAGCGGCTCGATGAGATAAATCTAATCAGCCCAATATTTCTTTATTTTGATATAATTAAGGCACTTAAATGCTGCATAAATGTTTTATAATTGAAGGGATTAATAAGAGTCGTCTGATTAAGTACTCCAAATTTTCTCCATATCTCTCTATAACCACTCTCAAAATCTATGAATAGACACTCTCCCTGTATGAGGGGGACTTTTGAGATAGGATACTTATACCCTAGCGAGAGACTCAAGGGAGCTCTAAAGCTTCAAGAATCCTGAAGCTGCAACCTCAGCACCACTATTGGTGAACCCTGGTCACCCAACAAACGTTATTGGACCTTTGTCCGACCATCACCACTGGACCTCTGTCCATACACCACCGCCTACTATGATCTCTTCGACCTTTGTCAGCCGACTACAATCCCTTCGACCTCTAACACCTAACAACGATCCCTTCAACCTTGGTCTCCCGACTATATGCCCTCTAACCTTCGCCGCCAGCCAATTGAGATCCTCAGACCACTGTCGCCTGACAGTGGTATCTTCAACCATCGTCGCCTAACTACTATCCTTTCGACCTCAATCTCCTGACTATAGTCCTTCCGACCTCTATCTCTCATCGACTATAGTTCTCATACCAACGTCATCCAACAACAGACCCTTCAACCACCGTCTCTTTATTACAGCCCCTTTGACTTCTATTGCCCGACTACATTACCTCTGACCATAGTCGTCCATCGGCTACAGTCCCTCCTACCATTATCTCATGATAATGGTCCCTTTGATCACAATTGCCCATCGACTATGGTCCCTCCTATCACTACCATATGGCTATGGCCCCTCCAACCTTAATCTCCCAACTACAACCCCTTCTACCTCAATCTTTCGACTATAATTCCTCTGACCTCCATCGCCTGCCAACTAAAGTCCCTCCAACCTCGTTCTCTCACCAACTATAGCCCCTTTGACCTATGCTACCCACTGACTGCTACCCCTCTAACATCTGTCGTCCAATTAGGATTCCTTCGACCTCCGTCACTTCTAAACTATGGTCCCTTCAACCTCGGTCGCTCAATTACAATCCCTCCGACCTATGTTGCCCGACTACGATCCCTTCGACCTTTGTCACCCCGATAATGGTCTCTTTGACCCCAATCGCCCTATTATGATCCTATTAACCAAATGAACAAACTAACGTTCTCTTGAAAACAACTTCCATGCCATTGTATTCTCCTACTCCAACCACGTATTATATTATTTACGAAGTATATTTACTACATTGAGCCAATGCCTTTCCCCGTAGAAGAGAGTCACTTGTAATCAACAACAAATACTAGTGAAATCATTCCAATTCGGCCAAACCCCATGATTTTTTCATTTTTAAGGTTTTATATGTAAAAACACTACCAAAAAAGTGGAATTTCTGCAACACTTGATGCTATATCAAAGCGATTTTAACTGCTACTAATTGCAATGGATTAAATCACTACAGCTAGTAGCAGTTTAATATGCTGCAACGAAAGTTGTAAAATATGATTTTTGAAGCCCCAATCTCTCATTAACCCGCAAGCCTTCAAACATTTTCCTCTTCTCCATTCATATAATTTCTATATTCTCGCGCCCTAAATTTGTCCCTTATTTTTTCATTCTTTTGATCGATTGTTGAATTGCATCTTAAATTTAGTATTATTAAATTAGTTTTAATTATTACTTAATTTAATTATATCATTAATAATTTAAATATTATAAATTTAATTCTTATGCATTAATTAAACTATTAATTATTTTATTAATTTACTTAATTATTAATTATTTAAATTATTTTAATTAAGTTAGCTTAGAGGTCTAGGGTTTGCTTTGCTGGCTTCTTCGGCAGTCCTTCGGTGCTATTCGACTTTGCTCATTCGACGACGTCCCCTTCGACTTCGCTCCTTCGACGACGTTCCCTTCCTGTCTGATCGGAAGTTAGGACATTTGAACAAAAGCAACCACGGGAGCTCACTCGTTGTGACGGAGGTAACTTTCTCCCTTTTCGCGAGCTTCTGTTCTATCACAAAGCTCACTCGTTGTGAAGGTAACTTGTTCCTCCTTCTCTTTCTTCTGTAACATCGCGCCTCCATCTTTTCGGATGACGACGCAAATCGGCAAAAATCTTCTGTACTTTTTGGGATGTCTTGTTCAGTATCTTCTTACTTTTACTTTTAAGAAATGGTTTACATGTTTATACTTATCATGTGATTAAAGCAGACTATTTATTTGGTCGTATATTTGTTTTTGTTTTGGTGTTGGGATGTGGACATTTTGTTGAATTCACGCTAGCTTGCACTGTAACTTTTTTCATTCAAGGAATTGGTGAAGATATAAGCTACCTACATCTTTTCAAAATATATAAAATGATTATTAACTAACACATATCTTCATTTGCTATCATTGCATACTGTTGCCCTGTTAATTCAGGTTATTTGTCCCTGATATGAAATCATTGTAGCTGTAACATGACATTATACCCTAACAAAATGTGGGATTGGCATTCTAATGTTCAAGTCATTGGTAAACTTTTATCTTTTTTGAATTGAAACCCTTCAAATTGAAAAGGTGCAGAGAGATAGGGACTGTGTTACATTATAGTGAAAAAGTGCACAGACTCGGATATTTTCCTGGTCCATCAGCAAAAACTCTTAGTTGTTGCTTAAGCTGGGTGGGAAAGCATTTTAAAATTTTTTAGCTTTTTACTGGGTACCCTGCATACGCATAGTTAATGAAGGTCATTTTTAAATTTCCAACTTGCACAATTAATGAAAGGTCATTTTTAATAAAATAGAATTCAAATATAGTTTGATAGGATTTAGCATAAAATAAAAGTTAATGAAAGGTCATTTTGATATCAAATACCTAGCACACACCAAAAAATAGAATTTTTCACAGCAATTGTTTAGAGCAATTTTAAAATCATTGCCAAAACCCTGATTTAGAACCAATTTGGACAGCTACATTTTGCACCAGTTTTAACCTGTAGAGTTAGAACCGGTTTTAACCGTCGGTAAAGCCCCGCCATTAAACCAAATCCCTAATTCCCAATCTTATACGTGAGAGCTCGACTTTTCCAACTGAACCTCATCTTCCTCACTGGCTTAACGCTTATTTTCCTAGCCAATCACCACGAGCATATCCTTTATTGTGTTATTTTATTCTTTAATATAATCAGCTTTATTACTTTAAAAGGTGAGAATAGGATATTATCATCTCTAACATGCTTTATCTCTCTTCATTTAGTAATGCAATAATATGAATATTATATTCCATGTCAAATTTTATCTATATGATTGAACTTATCACCAATCCTTTATGATTTATCATTCATGCTAAGCTATATGATTAAAAGTATCACCAATCCTATATGAATATTTTTATCATCATAATAGTAAAATTAAAGTTTGAGAGGCTTGAAAAATGAAGCTAATGGCTACCTTCCTTCTGTTCTTCTTATTGCTAAGAGTTACCTGAAGGTAATTAGTTTGAGATATAATATGATCACAAGTCTATGAACATGATGGTTGCATAAAAAATTGAGTGACCTAATGAATCTTTATTCTTAACAGTGACTTGGAAAATCATTTTTCACTTAATATGGATAAGAGTTGGATTACAAAAGCCAAGTGGAGTCGTGATTATGTAACTGGTGTAAACAATTTCTTAGAGTTTGCAAGTCGAAGTCAGAATTTATCTGGGAAAATTTTATGTCCGTGCAAGTCATGCATTAATAGGTACTTTCATTCTATGAAAGATGTGAAAGACCATTTAATTTCCAAAGGTTTTTTTGCTGGATATGTTGTATGGAATCGACATGGGGAAGAGCATTGTATTATAGATGAATATGCAATGAATAAAGCATCTGGTGCCACACCAAAGTTAAAGGAAGGCGAAGCTTCTTCTAAGGTCCTGGCTATGAAGTATCTAGTGCAACTCCAACGTGCAATAAATTTCATTACTATTTTTTGTTTCTTTAAAACAAAAGTTGACTAAATTTATTATAACATAGATACAAGCTTGCGTGCTTTTGGCTGAGGATGGGCTGATACCAGATGATAGGAATGTGAAGGCTAACGAAATGGTGTTCAATATGGTTATGAGACCTGAACACCCATAAAGAGTCAGGACCCAAGGATTTGGTGTCACTCCTACACGATATTTTCCTCATAGCACGAATGAGGGTAGGAATAGTGGTGGAAGCTGTTTAAGTCAAATAGTAAATCTCAGAGAGGAGGTGAACTCATTACGTACTGAAATGAGAGAATCCATGCAACAATTTCAAATGCAGCATCCATCTCAAGGAAGCTCAAAAATGGTATGTAAAATTTCACATTCTAATTTTAATGTTTGTTATTTGAATACTAATATTTTATAATCTTCTTATAATTGATAGGGTGGCAATGGAACTTCTTCTAAAAGATGATGTTATGGAGAAAGATAATGACGTTTTGAAGATAACTCATGTTTTTGATAAATTGTTATAAAATGAATCTCAATATGAAAGTCTACTTTTTTGGGATGTTGTTTAAAGTTTTGATATTGTTGGTTATCAAATATGAATGATGAATACTCTTATCTTTTTGACATATCAATGACTTAAAAAGTTTCACTTGAGATTATTTGGGTTTATAGCTGCATTGAGATCAGGTTGTTGATTCCTTCAAGTTGCTCATCTACTTATCTTACTATTTGTATCTCTCTTGTGTGCTGGTTGTCGATCTGTTGGCTTGGTCCTTAGTCCTTACATATATGGGCCATCATGGCTCATTTCTCCTCGGATTTCATCAATCGCCTGAGGTTCTCATTAAGGGTTTTTCATCTCGAGGATCTTTCTTCTTTTGTATTTTTGTGTGCATTTTGATTAATGAATGAATTGGATAATGCTTATGTGTGATTTTGATTAGTGAATGAATAGCATGTATTTTCGCATCCATGGATTTGCTCCTATGCTTGTGCATTTTGATTTATTTCCCATTCATCTCAGTTTTTCATTCTTTTAATTTAGTATCCTATACATTAGTTTTCGTCTGTTGGGATGGCAAATGTAACCAGTTAGATTTTCTTGAATGGGGCTTACTTGGAGCTATTTCTCTCCGATTTAGAGATTTAGGCAGTGTTTGGATGCTGTGAATTTGAGAGAAAGAAATGTGAGATAGAAGAACTCAAATCAATAGCCCATATTTATAATTAACGAACAAATTGCTGGGATTTCATTTACTTTCCTTTATTTATTTATTTTTTCAATCTTAAGCAAAGCTTGAGGAGGCTGATAAATTCTGAGTTTTAGTACCTTTTGTTATGGAAGAGGCGAAAAGTTGAGGCAAAAAGTGTGAATATGTGGAGCCACTGAATACTCATTTTGGGAGAAGCTTATGGTGAAAAAAAAATTTGGCTGATGATAGTTGCTCAAGCAGAAGTATTCCGGTAAAAGATTGTTGAAATTTGATTATAATTTGAAGTGGCTAAACACTATTTGAGCTTTTTCATTTTTTCTGTCTCTAGCCGCTCTGAAATCTTATATGAGCTTTCTTATTTAGCCGCTCTGAAATCTTATGTGAGCTTTTCTCTTTCCTGTTTATGTACTTCACTTTTGTTTAAAGCAATTTTCTTTAAAAGGGTCACCAACCCGGGCTTCTTTGTCATTCGTGAAGCATGCTTTTTATGTGCATCCTCTAGCGAGCTATGCATCCTCCAATGAGCTACTGTCAATGCGTCTTGCAGTGACCACCCATTGTTAATTCTGGCTCGAGCTCATAAGTCAAACTCGAAGCCACTATTTTTCTGGCGAGTGGAGCTCAAGTACAGCATTTAAGCTTGACTCCAGTATGACCGTACCACTTAGCACAAAGCTTGAATTAGCCCTAACTTCTGCTTGACTCTCCTCATTGACACACCTGTCACTCATTATTCAATTGGTAAGACTTCTAGCTTTCCTATGATTATTGTAAGTTCCATTGGAATTTTCTCACCTCTTAAAAACACATTTTTTTTTTTTATAACCCTATTTCCTCTTCACTCAGCCATGAAAATTCTTTTTCCATGTACAATCTATTTTTAGATTTTTTTCAACCAACCCTATTACTAGAACTAGTCATCTTATTTTAAAGTATGATTTCGCTTGTGACATTTTTTTTTATTGATTTTAAAATAATTTTTTAGTACAAAAATTTTTAATTTAAAAAAAATTTGTGCTAAAAAACTGTTTTGAGAAGCCCAAGTTTGATTCAATTAAAGAATTCTAATTTATCACTCTTAGCATTCTGTTTTGCAAGGTTAATAGGTTCTCTCCTTTTAAATTCCACCATCTTATCCTAGGATCATACTTTCTTTTAATTATTTTACGTAAGCTCCTAATATATAAATCTATAATGACTATCATATATTGTGCAGTTAATTCTTCTCTTAAAATCGCTTTATGATATTTTCAAGAAGATTTCTCATTCCTTCTAACCATGAAGAAAATTATTTATGAATTGTTAACCCCATTTTCTTAAGTAACAAAGTGTTCTCATTTCTGTAAGTACATATTTGCAATTACCAGGCCTCACTAGATAATGCAACCTATGATTGAGAACAATGATTCTTTGATTAGATTGGTTTGAATATTTCTATTAACTATGTAGACTAAGGTTCCTGACTACTTACTACGATGAAATTATAGGATCTTGTCAAGTTTATCATTATTCCATCATCATGCGCTCAAATTCCATAACAGTATATTATTTTCTCTAATCCAAATTATTACTACTAAAGCAAAGCATCGTAGAGGTTTGGACTAGTCTTTATCAAAAGTACTTACTCGTGATTTAGAGAGCTGATTAACCATGGGGGGGGCGGCTAGCACTTATAAGAAACCTTAAACTGAATACTAAAGTCTCATAAGTGGAAGAAATATGTAGTCACTATCTTTATAATTCAGTTTACTTATTGAAAAATCAATCTTAATACCAACTTGAGCATTCAGTAGAGGGAGATTAAGATGTTTCTGAATTTATGAAATCTTAGATATATAAAAGATAAATTAATGAAAAATCAAACATACATATAAAAAAAGAAATTGAATTTATATTGGCAAATTCAAAGAAACTAAGCTTTAAGAAAACCACACATGCTCAAATGTTCCTCAAAAATAGTTTATATAAAAAAAAGCCTTAGCTACATACTGAGTTTTGCGACCAAGGAAGCTTAGAAGAAGAAGACTTAGAGAGTTAATCAAAACACTAAAGAAATAGTTCAGAGTGCTAATAGATTGTAAATCTCTAGATTTTGGAGGCATTTATAGAATATGGAGACTCAAATGGGAAGAATAAATAAGTCTTAGGAGATCTGTAGCCAAATTCAAAACTTGGGTACATAAAGTATGAACATTTAATGCCTAATCAAAACTCTGGGCAAATGTGACAAGAGGTTACTTTGAACCAATAAGACAAGATGTTGCTATTGAGGAGACTTGAGATTTGATGAAATATTGTTTAAAACAAAATGCAAAGAAAAAATTGGGACTGTTAGAGAAGGTTATCTCTTGTTAAGTGATCTAAAGGATGAACTATAAGTGTTTGTCAATTTAAAAATAAAATAAAATAGATCAATAGAATTTTTTGGCACATCTGTAATATTATGATGGCCAACTTTAGTCTATAATTGTCCATAAAAAATGATTGGAAGACAAACTAAATTGTTTGGTCGATTTTTAGAGAAAATTGGCTAGTCCTCTTTATTAAGCTAGACGATCATTTTTGGGAAAACTATAAATTAGTCAGCATGGCATAGTTTGATAAAGGATTTTTTTTTTTTTTCAAATACAAATGGTGTTCCATACTATTGCTAACTACATCATTGAAATAAAGAATTTGAGCATCCTTATTGTCTGCCTTATATATCTAGAGTAATTTTTTCTTGATTTTTTTAGTTTTGCTTATAGTAAGGCCTATGAAATAAATGAAAAAAAAAACTCGTAAATACACTTTGGCAGCATTTAAGAATTGATCACCATTAGCATTTGCCTTCAATTGGATTGAAGTGCTTTTGGCTTCTCCTCAAGATAAAGCACCATTAGTAATTTAGGGTATATCTCTGATGTGGACATCGACCAGAGGTTCAGACATGTGTATCGTCGTAGACAGCGCAGATCGACGGCCGCGATTCAGAGTTTATATTTCTAGATATTTATGTATTTTTTTATTCATTTTTCTTTTTATTTCCTATTGTACCCCTAGTA